AAATTGTGCTGCTCCTTAAACTTTTGAACCGGTATGACTAAATAACGCAACGGAGATTTTTGGCGCAAATGGCATAAATTTTATTCAAGTGGTTGGAGGCATGCAGCTTTATAAACTGTTTATTCCAATCAAATGATATAAACATTTTTTAAAGTAAATCTGGGACTTAAATTATTTGATTTACATACTTTATGCCCGTTTTTGAGAATGTAGAGGAAATGTTTCCATATACTTACCAAAACATTAACCGAAAATGTGCTTATTGAATTTTACAAGAAACTTTTATTTTGATACTACTTTTGATAAATACACAACTGTATCATTTTTTTTTTAAATTTAGTTTGATGATATAACATAAATTGTTCCCTTGGTAAAGTATCCCTAATGCGCTAAGAAAAAAGTAATTTCTCCGGTGTATAATCTTTCAAAACATTTAAAAATTAATTGTAAAACAAACTTTCATTTTGATACTAAAAAAATTGTAATTTATAACCATTCATTGTGTCTTTTATGCAAAAAAATACCTAAATATTTTTCGAATTAAACATCTCTTTCACAGCAGCAAAAAGACCTATCGCACGCTTCTTTTTAAAGAAGCAAACTTGTTATATAAAGGCTTGGGAAGATGAATAAAAATCTATAATGACATTGACCCAAAATCCCTCTTTATTTTTTAGGACAAACCATGGTATCAACCTAAAAATATGGAATATATCTCTCAATAAATGAGGTTACTAGGAATAACGTCAATTAAATATAACTCTACTTCAAAAAGATAAAAAGGACAACTGGGGGTAAGGGATGGGTGTCACAGTTATTTCACTTGCCAAGATTTACGTTGTATTAATAAGAATGTATGTGGAGCATGAGGGTAATAGTTCAGATAAAACTAAAATATATCATCTTGCCGTGATAGTTGAACCATACGTATTTCTAAATGCTTAAAATGATATAAATGGGGGAAATGGAAACCACAGTTATTTCACCTTCTTAGGTCATGAGTAACGTGTAAATTTTGAAGCCGTTTGTGTAAGTAGAATAAAAGATATATCTAACTTGCTTGAGAAGGTTAACTATATAAGGTCCATTTTTTAAGTGCTAACAAGACGAATAACTAGGGGAGTAGATGTCACAGTTATGTAATATATTGTGCTTTGTAATAAGCTTTAAAAACATTGCTACATGTGAAATTTGGAACAAGCTAGCTTACCTTGCCTGTACATGTACAGCTTAACCACTGCTAAAGAGGGGGGAAATGGTAAATGGTATATAACGTGTCACATTGAAGGCTCAATGATTACCGCCATATGAACACATCTGCGGATGTTTCAAAATTTTATCTGCTTATGTTAAATGTTGAATTCTGCATTTGCAGGTGCTAGGGGGCGTAGACGATATATTGTATTTACCACTACCGTCTGTGAACAGGCTAGATCATACAAAGTCTGCAAAAGTTTCAATTTTTTTTGGGGGGGACTTTCTTAAGGGATTTTGTTTTCTCTATATTGTATTGATGACAATGAGTATATATTATGAGCTACGGGGGCAAAGAAAGAGACTGAATTATAAAATTGACCAAAATCATTACCTTAAGGTATTACCACCTAGCTAATGGGCACTATAAGGAACTAAAAAATTGACATCAATTACCCTACCCCATCCATTTTTTCCACGTGTCTGACCATTTTTCTACTTTGGGAGCTTAATTTAAAAAAAAACCTTAAAATTCAACCAAATGAGTCCCTGTTTGCAAAGTTTGCCTGAATTAAAAAAAAAGTATATTGGTTGATCTTTTGAAATATGATTATGAATATGATAGTTTTGACTTTATTACACTTTGAAAATATCAAGTACTATATTTATTACTAGATTTAGCCAAATTTAGCCAATAAATACCTAAATAAATTGAAAAATCAAAATTAAACACTTTTTTTTTCCAAATGGGACATGAGAGATACATAAATAATGTTAAAAGAAAAAAAAAGAAAGAAAAAATGTTGACCCTTCTAGGGATTGAACCCACGGCCCTCATTTTCAATGTTGTTAAAAGTAGTTTTAGCCTATTTGAATACTCTCCAAAGCGGAAGTAATGCATTAGGATGGTAGTACCTTAACTGTTAAATTTTCTATAACAAGAAACAGTCACACAAGAATTGATTCGTTCAATATATATTTCAGGAAGTATCGATAAGAATATTTTAGCACCATGTATTAGAAGGCGACATTCTGATTAGAAAGTCTGTGTCTTTACTATTTTATGTTCATTTAACTACAATCCAGTGATCCGAGTAAAAAAACACTAATTGAATGAAATGGAAATAATGTAATGAAAGAAAGGTTTACAATTATTTCATTGTAGAATTACGGATGTCGTACTTTGAACAAATTTTAAAGCTTTAAAATAAGGAACAGGTCTGCACATCTACAATCCTACGCGCCTTAGTACTGTATTTGTTGTGCAAATTTGTATTGATTAAATGTAATTGAGAAAAAATCGGGCATAAATTCAAAACGGTAACAGAATACACGTTGATTGGGCATGTGCCAATGTTAACAATGTAAGATTAGTCGATAGTGACATGTGCATTCATCGTTTGAATATAAACAAAAAAAACAATACAAAATATAATGATATAATTTTCTATTTTTTATGCATGTATTTATTAAAACAAATAACAAAGTTTGGAAAAATGGATACTATTCAAGGTATTATAAGTTTATTTTCTTAGATTAGAATTCGTTAATATAATCATACATGTACATGTATTTGATTTCTGTTTATTGAATTTAAACAATAATGTTTCTCGTTTATCGGCTCTATGTAAACATTAAGATTTCCTTCAAATCCAGATTTACACAAGTGGAGATAAGTGGAGATAAAAAGTCAGAAAATGAGTCGATTTTTCATTAGCATGCCTATAATTTCATCAAAATTACATGACTTGGAATCAAGGCCAACAATAGTCGAAATTGCTAATGGCGCTGACCCTAATCAAAGTAAGTAAATATACATTTAGAAATAAGAGAACTGTTAATATAAGTTTTTATTGTTTTGTGCTGACAGTCTTAAGAACGCAATACCTGTCAAAATAATCATACGGTTTTATCTGTTGATCTCTTTACAAGCTATTTTTTCTACATTGCTTGTGGTAGTTTCAATGTAAAGTTATATTAAGCAGTTTATGTAAACTTTCTCTCTACTTGTCAATGTCAGATCCTTATTGCGAGTTTTGTGAAAATTGGGAAGGCATGCACTCTCTTAGTGTGTAGCTGTTTGTTTTTAGAGAAACGAATATTGAAGGGAGTTCTGTTTGGTTGAATTTAATTGTGGTGATCCTAATTGTTTTGGGTCATTGTATTTAGTTGTATTCGAATTATCTTTTGTTCTCCAGTTATATTTGTTTGGTGAAATATATTTGTTTGAAATTGTTTGAGTTGTATTGGGTGATTTTGATTTTTGAAGATTTTCATAGTTAATACTATTGAATATATTATATTCTAAAATGAGGATAATGGGACATAGAATATTCTGCTGTTATTCACAAAAAATTTCAACGGTTTTCAAAGAGTCTATGACCCAATTTTCTTTAGGCATACCGCATGCTTTGTGTTCATTCCCTGAACAGTTGACGCTACGCTTGTAACCGACGGACCAAATCGTAAAACTCTGTGACGGCCAAATGTTATGTATTTTTTATCTTCTGTCTTGCTTTTGCGGGTCCTTGTAGATGATTTTCTTGTTGCTCTGTCTTTCTTTAAAGCAGGCATCGAGTAAATATGTTATGAAAATTAAGATGTACCTTTTTGTACATATTAACAATACAATTTATGTGTTTTATTTTATTTATTTCGTCTAATGTAACCATGACAAATGTTAGAATTTCACAAGGGGACAATTAATTTTATATACACTGTATAAAAAATGGTTTTATTTATTTATTTATTTTTTAATATATGGATATTATATTGTAAAAATAACAAGATTAAAACTATTTTAGGTCAAATAAATGCGAGTAGTACCTTTGATAAATACTTCTTTACTTTATTCTATTTTTGTAATTTTACGAATATATATACGTTTTTGTATAAAAAAAATCCCCGATATAACCTAAACATTGGTCATATGTTCGTATATTTATCATTCTATTTCCTTATTTTCAAGTGGTAAAGCCTGATATCGAGGATGATCAAAAGCGCTGGCTCATTGTTGGTATTTGCCTACACAGTGTTCTCTCTCCGGTCTTACGAAAGTATATCCCTCCTGTAGTAAGCAACCTATATTCTCAACTGAAACGCTCTGATCAGATAGACAACCAAAAATATCCAAATCAACTAGCGCGTTACAAACCTACGAACAAAGAGCTGAACTATGAGGCAATTAACAATAACGCTGTAATACCACAGGTTAGTCGAAGAAAAGATGAAAAGAACTTCAATTACGACGTGAAATGCGACGTCGACCTTTCAAAACTGTTCATGCCCACTAGCATGACACAGTACACAGGTTTTGATGATACGTGCGACACTTCAGCACTGCTGGGAATCATTATCAATATATTTTCCTTTCCGGCTTTAGTAAAGACAGTAGCAGAACAGGTACATATTGTTTAATTCTTTAACTTATAATCAAAGCTGAAGGAGATATATACATTGAAAAATTTGCAGCATGACGGGTCAATATCAACACCAGAACATATTAATACCACTGTGAAACACATGATATGATTTCGATTACAATACACGTACTAAGTTTATGCACTGCTTAACTAAACTTTACTATGTTTTAAACATATTTTAACTTGTGACTAAAGTCTCATTAGCCAGCACATGTATTAGTCATCGTTAAATGCTTTTCTCCGACCATTTGACCATTTCGATTGTTTACTAGATATATCCTTCTATATTGTTGTGAAGATTAAATGAAAGTCACACCAACACTGTGGAGATTGTATGGCGACTTTCCAGCTTTACTGGTGGAGGAAAACGTCATGCCCTGTGTTCATTATTTTAGACACAAGCGGGAACCTTAGAAGTACCGCTGACCATGATAGCTTACTTACACGATAGAATCTAAATCTCTAACGGGATTCGAACTCGAAGGTGGGTGACGTAAAAGTAAATAAAAGTCGAAGACCTCAGCCACTTTTCCACAGAGGCCCGTTCCTAAATGGTGTAAAAATGCTTAACCCATTCGATATCAATATCATGTTTGATTTAACATGTTTATATTTGTTCATCGAAATAGGTGCGTTCTGAAATCCGTAATTGCTGGGCGCATTGTAACTTTTCTGAATGGGATTTCCTTAAGTTCCAAGACTCGTTTCGGCTGATGCATCAGTTTATTAGAAATTTGCGACTTTCGACCAGTGAAGAAACATTTGCACTTGGAGAACTTACTAAGTGGCAGACATATGGTGTGTACAAATAAATATTATATAGGAGTGGTTTTAAATATGAACAAAACAAACGGCAATTTACTTAAGATAATTTATTATATTTGTCCAATATATATTAATATGAAAAATTAAGTTAACGCATTAATTTAGATTTTAAACTTCAAGTAGTTTACATAAATTGAATAATATTCCACATATTTACAGGAATACAGTTTTTGCACGGCACAACACTCGGTATGGAAATTGTAAAAGAGCTTAAAAAAGAATTAAGAACAATCAGTAAACATGTATTAGCTGTTGCCCAACATAACGACGAAGCTTTCGAAAACATACAAAGGGCTCTAAATGACACACAAGATGCTTTTGAAAAGGCAGATGAAAAGTATTTGAGCTTACAAAATCAAGTTGAAACAAACTATGAACAGCATAAAAAGGAGACACTTGCAAGTATAAAAATTATGAAAGACGAAATAGCTGGAATCGAATGTCAAAGCAAGCGCTCAGCCACAAGCATATCAAAATATAGAAATGAATTAGAAGAGGTGCAGACATGTGTTTCAGAAATAAGAACTGAACAGCGAAGAGAAAATGCAGAAATAAAGAGCCATGTTTCTGATCTTGATGCAAAGTTGGGATATTGTAATACTGAAATAAACGACGTTAAACAAAGTATGCAGGATATATATGACAATGTTTCGAGCAGCAAAAAGAAATTGAGGCTATTAAAGTTCATTTGTCAAATGATAGGCCTCGTGAAAAATTATTTTTTTATCCACCAAACAGAATTGCTAGTTTTGTTGGAAGAAAAGAAGAATTGAAACAAACTACAAGAAAGGTTTTTTTGAAAAAAAAGTATGGCTGCAATATGCAAATTTTTATGTGGACTGGAGGAGGTAGGAAAGACAACACTTTGTATTGAATACGCTTAGGGCAATTTTTCCCATTGCCCTTGTATCCTGGTGGTGTGTTTTGGATGTCTGCAGAAACAAATGAATTCTGGAAGATTCAATACAAAGATAGCTCTTGATACTGATAATGTCGGAAATGATGCAAAAGAATCGATGCGTAAAACGCTAATTTGGCTACGTGGACTTCAAACAGAGATGGCTGTTGTAATAGATAATTTAGATATGGAAGGAAATTTCAAGGAAATGTCAAAGAATTGGTTCTAGGGTGCATGGAGACATAACTCAAATGGTCAAACCATAATCACTTCAAGAAGGGAGGCCACTAATGCTGAGGAGGAGTTTTATGTCCAAGCCGACGACTGCATAACGTTGGATGTATTGACAGAAAAGGAAAGTTTACATTTCATTATAACTCGCACGGGTCTTCAAATTAACAATGATGAAAATGCAATATGTTTAGTACATGAACTCGGTGGATTACCTTTAGCACTTGAACAAGCAGCGGCTCATATCAAAGCATTGGCATGTACTTACAAAGAGTACTTCAATAAATTTAAAGAACAAAGATTGAAATTGCTTAAAGCAATCAGACCACCTTTTGAATTGTCAAAGGAAAGACAAGCGGTGCAAACAACATGGCAACTGAACTTTGATTACATTTTGAAACAGTCAGAGCATGAAGGATTGGGAAATACTGCAGTCACCATCGTTGAAATATTAGCATATTTATATGCAGAAGATATACCTTTTTGTGTCATTAATACAGGAACACCTAAAATATGCGATGAAAATTTATCACAGGTTCTCGAAAATCCACTAGGAAAAAAAAAAATTAATTGAAATCCTCACACGATTTTTCCCTCTGATTCGGAAAAAATTCTGAAGTATTGAGTATGCATCGGATTAGTTCAGGAAGTTCGCATGAGAGAAGAAGTTCAGAACCTCAGAACGAACGCATTTCATTTTAGCAGTGTGCAACTAGAATGGTTAATAAAAAGCTTTTTAAGCGAAGCGGTTCTTCACCAAATGATGCAGTTCAGAAGTAAAGAAAATGTCGGCAAGTATACTTTCCAATTTGTGGGGTAAGATGGCTGTCTTCAAGCAAACTTATCGTTAAGGGCATACATTGAATCAATATGCAGCCAATCCCCAGTAATCTAGATAGTTGTTTGAATAACGAAACCCTAAAACTTTTTACAAACAATTGTGCAATTTACCACGAGGTTTTTACCAAAGGCAAGACGAAGCTTTAGTCTGTGACAAAACTCACATGTTAGGGTTTTAACATTCAAGTAGATTTTAGAACGCGGACTTAGCGCAGCATGCACTGACATCAATTAAAAGGTGCCTCGCAAATCTTAAATGGCGGGAACGGCTATTATTTTTTACAGTGTAGGGTATAATAAACTTAGATTCCAAATGATGAACAGGCGTCCCAAACGCAATAGAGGACCAGAAAAAATTTAACGCAAGAGGTAATACTGCTTACAAAGAACTGAGGTTACAGGATGCAAATACAATTATTGATTCAAAAGGCTATTTAAATTTTTTTAAACCCTCAAAATTCCAAATACAAAGCTTGTTTTGCAATTTAGAAGTATAACCCCTTTTTTAAAAGGGCGGGAAATTTTTGAAAAAGCATACGTGAAAGCAAAAGGCTGTATTGGAAACTAGATCCGACGTTTTGGAAAAACATATTGCTGGAAACTCT